GCCCAAGGCCTACCCCTCCTACCAGGCCCTGGTGGAAGACCCCTCCCTGGACGCAGTGTGAGCAACCAGCACAGCACAGCACAGCACAGCTCAGAACAGCTCAGCACAGCGGAGCTCAGCACAGCACAGCTCAGCACGTGCAGGCTGGCTTGGCTGGCCAGCAGTGCCCCTTGCCTCTACCAAGGTGGCTGCTGGACACTGACCCCAGCCAGCTGCTGCCAGCTGATTGTTGTGGCAGCCGTGCACCTATTGTCCCCTTTGATATGTTGTGCGGACCAGCCCTCAACATGCGGTCGCACGTCGCGCCTGACCTGACCCCGCCATCACAGCTATGTGGCGCTGCCCAACGGCCTGCATGGCGAGTGGGCGGCGGCGGCACTGCGGGCGGGCAAGCACGTGCTGTGTGAGAAGCCGTTCACAGCCAACGCGCAGGAGGCACGGTGGGTGGGGTGATGTGCAGGGGCTGAAGGGATGAGGGGGCGATACGCCCCCATTCTCCCGCAGCTCCAGTGGCCAAAAGCTCCGCAGTGACAGGCGGCACTCTGGAGTGACGGCATGTATCTTTTCCGCAAGCGAGTGTGCGGTGCCTGCAATCGCCGTAAGCCGTTCGCCCCCCACCATCCCCCCGCCACGCACTCAAGCCATGTGATGGGCATCGCGCGGTCCTCTGGCCTGGTGTGCCGTGAGGCCTTCCACAATTCAGAGCACCCCGCCAACAAGCGCGTGGCAGAGCTGCTGCAGGCAAGCCGCAGAACGAAGGGAACGGTTGTCGCGCGAATCGCCGAGCGCACGCCACAGCAGGGGCCTCTTGCAAGAGTGCGCGGGAGGCTTCAGGTGGCCCCGCAAAGCATCAACACCTCCCGCCAGCAGCAATGCCAGACTTTCCTCGCCGGGTGCAATCCGCAGTACCAGCCCCCACCCCAACCCCTGCTTCGCCGGCACCTCCTCCCCTCCTTCCCCAATCCCGGCCACCCACAGGGCGGTGCCATTGGCGAGCTGCTGTCCCTGACGGCGCGCGTGCTGATTCCTTCCTGGGCCTTCAAGGAGGGCGACATCCGCTTCAACGAGGGCCTGGCGGGCGGCACCATGATGGACGCGGTGGGCAGGGGGGAGGGGCGCGGGAGGGTCGCATGCGACAGAAGGACATGCATAAGCTGCGGGGCGGCATGCATGTTACAGAAGGCGAGCAGTGTGACTGCAAGGGTATGAGGCACACTCATATTGGCTGATTCACAGGGACGATCCGACAGCCGCCTCCCATGCCGATGCGCCTGTGCGCGCGACACCTTGCCTCCACCGCCCCACCGCCGCGGCCAGGGCTGCTACTGCGCAGACGCACTGAGCTTCTTCCCGGGGTTCCCGCCAACGGCGGTGACGTCAGCGGCGGCCAAGGGCGTGCTGCACGGCTGCGACACAGGCATGGAGGCGCGTGTGGCGTACGGCGGCAAGGGCGGCGGCGCGGGGCAGCTGGTTGGGCGCATCGAGGCGGACCTGCGCCACGGCGGGCTGCTGCCTGTCACACTCATCACAGCGGAGGGCACCAGGTGCGGCAGACAGCAGGGTTGACCCTCCGGGAGTCGTGTGCAAAGCATCACAAGGCCGCCTTGTTGGGGGCGTCGATGCTCTGGGGCTGGCCTGCTTCGCTGCGCCAGGTTGCCCTCTCACATCGCTGCACCACGATCACTGTACAAGACTCAAGGCCCGCGCCCCCTCCGCACCACGTGGCTATGTGCGACCGCACCCCCAGGGGCCGCCTGACCTACGACAATTTCGTGGTGCCCTTCTTTGGCCACCAGATCACGCTGGCCCTCGCACCAGACAGGGGGGGCCAGCCCCCGGAGACGCGGCGCATGAGCGTGTATGGCAGCGGCGAGAGCAACTACTATTACCAGCTGCGGCGGTTCACAGACGACGTCGTCGCGCTCAGGGGCGGCACCGGTGCCAGGTGGGCTCGCGGGAATGGAGCGCATGGCTGGCAGCTGGCCGCACCAAGTGCATGTGTGACACCTGGTTCACCCTTTGCAGCATGCTTGCCAAAAAAATTCGAGACGGTGCTTTCACGCATTTCAATTGCGGGGCATTGCAACTGCATGGCCCCGCAGGTGCGATGCATGGAGGCTTTGGCCCTGACCTCACCGTCTGCCACGCTCTGCCACGCTTTATCACACCCCCAACGTGCCGCAGGGCGTTGGCGGAGGTCGAGGCGTCGCTGCAGAAGGATGCGGCCGACGCTATTGCCAACATGGAGCTGGTGGAGGCCATCTACACAGCGGCGGGGCTGCGGCCGCGGCAGCCGACACACGCCTGGTTTTAGGGGGACCCTGGCGGGTCGATGGCCGCGATCGTTGGGTTCATAATTGTGCTTCATGTTGCTTGCTTGGGGGCGGGGGCCGCAAGTATTTGCCTGGGTGATTGAGCCGTGATGCCCACTGTCCCGCAGCACTCGGCTACTGGCATGTGCCGTTTGGTGAGAGTGACGACACTGCCAACAGTATGTAATCCGTGAGCCATGTTTGGCAGTGTTTGGACCAAGCTGCAGCAACTTCGCATCGTTGTAGCGGGTGGTTTTTTATTTTAGGTACAGTACCAGGAGCAGCACCATGCATGCCTCTATGGTAGTGGTAGGCATTATGTCCATGCTCATGGATTCGAAACGCTATAAACTCAACCAAACAGTAGCCCACATGCACCTACAGGGCAGGCGTACCCTGTGCGCATACCGTACGTCTGCACCAGCGGAAGCCAGCTTACTGGCAGCAGGGAATTTCAAGCGGCAAGGGTGCCAAGCGCTCTCTTCAAGTCTCACGGCAGCCTCTTGATTGTCTATCTATCTTCAACCCGCTTCTTGCACGTCTCGATGCGTCCAAAAGCGCTCCGCGTTGCTCTTATCAAATCAGATCATCGCGTGTTTGACCGCGCGCACAACCCTGGATGTCGTCTCAGCCGCCAAGAAATAGCTCTGACATGTCCGCGATGCGGGAATCGGGTTTTGATAGCCCTGCCGCCCTGCGCATGCGGCAGCCCGACCAGCAGCACAGCGCACTGGACCGCCTGCCAGACGACGCGATCGAGCGCGTCGTGGCTGCGCTCAAGCCGGACAAAGTGCGGGCTCACGCACGCTTGGCCTGCAAGCGACTGCAAGCAGCAGTCGACGCCGACATGCGCTGCGTGCCGCTCGGCCACGGCGGCGCGCTGCCGCGCCTCTCTACCCTAGCGGCGCGCTTCCCTCGAGCCACCAAGTTGCAGCGCCATATCCTTGTCGGAGAGGAGCTGCCTGAACTTCTGCGCGAGTTGGCAGCCCTTCCAGTTGGCGCCTGGCCGGTCGTGACCTGCACGTCCGACGTGGTGCTGGGCTTCTGCCGTGACAACGCAAAGCTCCTTGCGCACCTGGCGCGCCTCTGCCCCAACATTGAGGAGATCGCCCTCACGCTGCCATACATTACCCAAGCAATCCTGGTGGAGCGGAAGCGCGCCATGTCCAACAGCAACAACGCGTTGCACGCGTGGGGGACTGCTGGGGACGCATACGGCGCTGTCGCTGATGCACTCAAGGCCATGCCAGGCCTGAAGCGCCTCGAGCTGGGCCTCGGCACGGACCACACAAACCCTAAATGGGACGAGACCAAGCCGCTGGACGATGATGTCTACAAACCCTACAACAACGGCTACTACGCATACAACGCCGAATACTCTGACGACGACGCGGACGGCGATGAGATGGAAGCGCCACCGCCACCCCCGCCGCCGCCACGAGCGCCGCGCGGGCCGCACCCCGAGCACATCGTGCTGCCGCTGCTGTGGAGCACCCTGGCAGGCCTAACTGCGCTGGAAAAGCTGACCCTGAAACGACCCCTGGGCGCGCCGGGCCTGCAGCTGGCATCTTTGGCCAGCCTACGGCACCTATCTATCCATTTCAGCGGGACGTCGCCCTTTCCAGTGTTTCAGGCGGTGTTGCACCCGCTCACGCGCCTGACCCGCCTGGAGATGAAGATTGGGTGCGCATGCGGTGACTGGGAAGGCACAGACAGTAGCACAGCCAGCTGGCCGCATGCCTCGCATGCGCGTTTGCTCACAAACTTCACTCGCCTGCTGTGCTCCCCCTCATTCCCGCCCACACCTTTGCGATCTGGAACTGAAGCTTCTCTGCCTTGTTGCGCGGTGTTCCTCACGCCACGGCCGCCTGCACCTCACATCTTCCCCCGCAGGCACTATGTGCGCGACCACCTAGATCCAGCGTCCGTCGCCACCGTCTTCACCGCCTGCCCGCGGCTCCTGGAGCTTCGCCTGGTGGGTGTGCACGGCGTCAAGGGCCTGCTGGTTGCCGGCAGCGCTGTGCTGCACCACCTCACGCGCCTCGAGCTGAGCGAGGTGGTCGACGTCGACGAACGCATCCAACACCACGCTGACGAGGACGATGACGAGGACCAGCAAGAAGGCGGCGAGGGCGAGGAGGGCGCCGAGGGGGACAGGGCCCCTATGGCCATTGCCGGCGTCCGCGGCCTGGTGCGCTTTGCGCCCTCCCTGCGCTACCTGTCGGTCGACGGGGCCTGCAGTTGCGCACGCCTCGCGGCATCGGGCCACCCTCTCCTGGAGGACCTCATCGTCGCGTCGGACCACGCGCACAAGTACGGCACTGGCGATGCAGCGCCCCGCTGGCTGAGCGCGGCCAGCGGCATGCCGTCGCTTGGCAGGCTTGAGTGCTGCCTCACCAGCGCCAGCTTCCCGGGGGACCTCGCCCGCAACGAATTCCGGCGCCTCGCCAACCCCGCCGCCAGCGACCCAGAGCACACCTTTGCCGGCCACTTCAGGCGTTGGGTGCGCGGCTGGGGCTTGCTGCGGTCCCTCAAGCTGGACGTGGGCGACCTCACCGGGTACCTGCCCCTGGGTGATGTCATCGCCACCCTCGCATCCTCCCCGCTCGCGGCCTCTCTCACCACGCTGACGCTCACCGCGCCCTCACACCTGGGCGGCTTGGCCTCCCTGGCGTGCCTCATCCCGGCCGAGCCGCTGGCGGGTCTGGCCGGCTTCCCGCGGCTCGATTCGCTGCGCCTTGCGTTCACGGACGCCGCGCTGCCAGGCGGCTTTGTCCTGGTCGGCAAAGTGAGGCTGGACGACGCCAGGCTCCGCGCACTGCTGGGGGCGCCGCGCCCCGTGCGCGCGCGTGCGCCGGTGCTGCGGCGCATCGTAATTGCCCTGACCCGGGCGCAGGTGGTGGAGCCGCGCTCGACACGGCACAAGGCGCAGCTGCCGGCGCCCGTCAGCTGGCGCTGCTGCATGGAGCTGCGCGCCGCCCACCCCGGGCTGCATTTTGAAGTCGAGTGAGGGTGCCGTCCTGGGTGACACACGCTTCTTGCGCCTCCTGCCAAAAATCGCAATATGGGATGGTTGTGGGGTTTGCATGCTCTGGTCCTTGGGCCCAGAGTGCGAGGTTTCTGTGGGGGAAATGTGGCAGCAGAGGGCCTTAGTGGGCTTGCATGCGTGGTGATGCACAAGCTAGGTGTGGGAAAGCTAGGTTTTCCCGGTCATTACGATCTCGCATGACTCAGTAAAGCTCTTCTTATGTTGATACCAAGCATGCAGTCCGACCGTTGCCGCATCCAAGTCAACTCCATGCGGAGCGGATTAAGACCAGCAGAAGGTCCACCTGCCCATATATTCAAGTGTCCCTGGCCAGCCTGTTCCGTTTGCCAAGTCAGTTGTACAAAATAATGTATGGCTGCGAGCCCTGCTGGATGTGCGTAGCCATGCCTGCGTGCATGCCTGCCAGGCACTGCGTCAGCGTTGCCGCCATTGAGTAATCAACAGAAGGGCGGTGCACCTTGACCATCTGGCAAAACGACTGCCTTCAAACAGCTTCAATGAAATTAATGTCCTCAGTAAGCGAAGCAACGCTGAACATGGCCCCGTTGCAAGCTTGATCTTCTCTTAGTTGTACAGTATACTCGTGCCGCTCGACCTGAGCACGTCAACGGAAAACGCATGCTCTCTATGCTGCGCGGAGCACGTCTACACAGCAGCCGCCTGCGATGCGCCCCGCCATTTGCAGGATGCAGCAGCTCGGCCTGGCCTTTGCCGAGCCGCCGCCGCTGCTGCTTCGCGGCGTGCAGCGCGCAGGGCGTTCAGGACCAGCAACAGCAGCAGCAGGCGCCAGATGCACCGCATGTATCTGTGCTGCTCAATGAGGTGCTGCAGCATTTCAGTGGGCGGCAGGTCAAGGTGCGAGGGACATTTCTTGCTGCTGTCCACCTGGTACCCAAGTAAGGTTGGTGCATGCCTTTGGCGTTCCCTGCTGGCGGCATGACACTGACGCAGTATTTTCTCTGGGCTTGCAGGTGTATGTGGATTGTACACTTGGAGCTGGGGGTCATGCTGCCAGCATGATGCAACAGCACCCGGTGGGTGGCTGCGCCCGTGCACTGTGCGGCCGTGCGTACCACGCCGCCGTGTGTGTTCTGGGGGGGAGGGTGTGTGTGTGGTCGCGAGAGGTGCGCGTTAGAGACACGCAAAATTGGCTCGCAACACGGCAGTAGGCCTGCCGGCGATTGACGTCCTGACCAATGGCACCTGGTCAAGTTGATGGAAGCAGTTCACGGGCCTGCATCAACGCCACCACCCCAGTCAACGCCTGCTTCAGGCGTGCACAAGTTTTGTGGAACGCACCCCCAACCCTGCCGCCCCAGGAGCTGTCTCACCTGGTGGGAATCGACCTGGACCCCTTGGCACACAGGCTGGCAGGAGACAGGCTCGCGCGGCAACGGGAAGCGCTATCCCGCGATAGCCCTGATGTTCACCTGCTGCATGGCAATTACAGGTGTGGGAGCCCCTGCAGGGCACGCCCGTGTAGGGATGCAGCTCACGCCGAGGGCAGGCGTGAAGCACCGCTCCCCTCGTGTTATCAATGGGTGCTGGTCCCTCCACACTCAAACCTTGAGGAGCACGCCCCCTGGAGAATGCCCGACGCTGTCTCTGCTGCGTTCACCTTGCAACCACCACCGCCCGCCAATTGGCAATCGGTGCCCTGCGGCCCCTTCCAGCCAGGTGCAGCGGCTGCTGCAGGGGCTGCCGTGCGGTTCTCTTGTGGGGCGGGTGGACGCCATGCTCATGGACCTGGGGGTGTCATCTATGCAGGTGGGGCAACGCAGGTGCACGCTTGGGCGCGATGGGTACGGGGGTGAGGGAGGCTTACAGAAGCAGCAGCAGCAGCAGCACCAGCAGCAGCACCAGCAGCAGCAGCAGCAGCACCAGCAGCAGCAGCAGCAGCGGCAGCTTGAGCAACGGCGGCAGCATCTTGGTGCCCTTCATTTTGTTGAACGCTCATATTCTTTGGCTTATTTCCTGTGGTCAACTCAACCCGCTCCACCGCCCAGCTGGACATGGCAGAGCGCGGCTTCAGTTTTGCGGCAGACGGTCCCCTGGACATGCGCCTGGACCCGGGGGCCCCCATGAGTGCTGCTGACGCCGTCAACGGCTGGAGCGAGGCGCAGCTGGGTCGGGTCCTGCTGGAGTATGGGGAGGAGAAGGCCTGGAAGCTGGTGGCGCGCAGGTGGGCGCGTCAGGGTGACTGCGCCGCGCAGGGCCGTGGGTGCTGGGCCGAGCGCGCCCCGTGGTGGAGGACGCTGCGCAACTCAGTGCTGCAGGGCCTTCATCATGGCAGTTCGCTCGGCATGCCCGGGGTGCTGCTGCCTGCACTCGACGCCTTGAGTGGACTTTTGCAGGCGGGGGCCCCTTCCATGACGGCTGCTGCCACATGCGCCTGCTGCCAGCCTTGAGCTCCTGTTGGGCCACCTTCCATACTCCTCTCCTTCCCTCAACACATCACCACACCCACCCCCAACGCCCAACCCCCAGGATTGTGGAGGCGCGTGAGAAGGCGCCCATCCTCACGACACAGCAGCTGGTGCAGGCGGTGGGGCAGACCATATTCCGCGACAAGAGCAAGCAGGGCGGCAGGCGCAGCGGCAAGACCATCCACCCAGCCACCAGGACGTTCCAGGTCAGCTTGACCACTCAAGCTGGGAGTGGCCTCCGCCCGCTGTGCTGGCTGCAGTGCCTGCTTCTTCCTGGCCTTTGTAATGCCAGCTTGCGCTGCCCCAAACGTTTCAAACGTAATCTTGTCTCTAGCAACACCCCGCCCCGCGCCCCCTCAACC